GAATAAAGCCGGATGTAGCGGCCCTAGAAGGAGTCATACGTGGGTATTTTATGGTCAAAAGGTACTCAAAAGCGAGGAGAGTGCTCTTTAGTCTGTGGGATACAGTTTTGCCGCTAGACACTATGCCACCCATTCGTGCTTCACTAAGCGATGCAGTGTGGCACTTGAGGAAGACTGAGCGATCTCTCCGTCAAAGTGTCTCACAGCCAAAGACACAGCTCCGGGATAGGGTGATAGTCAGAACCATCGGCAGGAGTTGGGGAAGTGCCTCTAAGGGACAAAAAGCAAAGCGTGTCACCCCTGCTACAGAAGAGCTCAGGCAGAGAATAGAAAATTCAGAATGATTACATTAATCAAATGGTATAACGTCTTTATCATGTCTTTATCAATGTAACACTTTATTGCAATATCATATATCATAGAAATCCCCATTTTCACTGGTCCGTATCCCAAAACTATTTAAATATCCTGGTCATGATCTACGAGCAACCAAACTGCCGGTCCAATAGTGCAATTGCATCGCGCATTCCTTCACTACGTACGGTAACGACCCTTTGGGGTCCCTGTAATAGTTCTTCAGGGACCATTGCTCTACGATGCCCAGTCTGATTTACTTCTTCCTCCTCGTAGCCGATCTGTAGATGCGCACTTGACGGAGCATCGTCCATGACCACATCGACTGGTTTGCTAGAACGTTGTTGCCTCCGTAGAAGGACTTCTTCCGGTTCTGGCATACTTTCTCCGGGTTCGAGGGTACAGCAAGTTTTACGAGCTACAACTTCAGCCAAAAGATTAAGATTGGCCAAGTGAGACGGTCCGAGACTCGGATTGACTAGGTGTGAATTTGGGTGAGCTTCTAATGTTTTCCATACCACGTCGCACGGCACTGAGTCTTCTCCTATCGGCGTTGTGGTCGGTACTCTCTTGCCTTGAAGATTGATCGGACGACTGGGGTGTGAATTAGTCGAATTAGATCGGGGCTTATGGAAAGCCAAATCGGATCTACAAGCATGGCCTCGACATTGACCGGGATTTCCACAGCATTGAGGAGAGGAAGATCCTGATGATTGTTCACGAAGGACATTTGATGCTGTAGTGCAGATTCCTTTCTTGGATTGGCACGAGCACTGATGAGCAGCACCTAGAGCGGAGCAAAATGCTTGTCCGAATGCATTATTTGCGCATGCTCCACAGTTTGTTGGATCTCCTGAACACCCAGAATGCTTCTTAGGTGCCCTATCTCTA